AATTTAAAATTAAATTATATATCGTATTTTTGACATATAAATATACATAAAAGTAACAAAAATAAATGTTTTGTATATAAAATTTGTACATCAAAGTGTTAAAAGAATTGTATCTCACAATAAATATTTACTATATCAATATATTTACATAGTTTTTCAATATATTTACATAGTTTTTTATATTTTTATATAAAAAAATAAAAAAAAATAAAAAAATATTTATGGATTGGGTCAACCGGGTTGGCGCGGCCGGGTCAATGATCTAGGTCGACCGGGTCAATGCCGAGTTGACCGAGATTTGACCGGGTCCACTTTTACCCGGTCCAAATAGCTCACTCGGACTGGTTTCAGTTCCGGGTGGTCGGGTCTCGAGTTGATCCACCGGGCCGGTCCTGGTGAAAAAACAATGTTTGTGAGATAAAAAGGTGAAAAGAAAATTATTTCTAGGAAAAAGTGAGATAAATTTAAGAGGGTGAAAGAATATGAGATGGAATATAATGATTAATGTTGATTTGATGTAAAAATAATGAATATAATAAAAATGTAATTATAATACTTGTTAAAATTGATAGCTAAACTAAGTTTTGTAGGAAATCATATAATAATGATTAATTTTATTTTTTAATTGTTCTAGTGGGATTCTGTAGAATAAAGTGGGGTAAAATAATTTTGTGATTTTTTTTTTTAATTTGTTGTTTGAATGAGATAAATTTGGCTGAACGCTAAAAAAAATAAATTGTCATAAAAGTTGGCATGATTTTTGCCTCAAGATTGAATTTTTCAGATGAGATCCTGAGTCCATTTTCTGAAAAAACAAGAAGAAAAAGATTTTTTTTATTTTTGTTACCCTTTTATTAATTTCTGCAATTTTTATTTTTCTTTTAAAAAAAATAGTCTTCTCCACAAGAGAAAACAACTGCTCAACCTGCAACTCAACATCCCCATACAAACTCCTCCACAGAGTTACCGAAAGAGACAACAAATTAGGCATCGGGAAACCTTTCCAAGGGCTCGACTGGAAGTCACTCAACAATGTCGACCTTTACGCGGCACAAAAGGAACTCTACCTCGGAAAAAAATGTCAGGTGGACGATAAACCGAGCCCTTGGCAATTTTGGATGATCATGCTCAAGAGTGGCAATATGGACACATACGCAGCTAAGTGCCCGAAAAACGGGCTTAAAGTGGGCCCGTTCGGGCCAAGAACCCAATTCCCATGTTTCGGCAAAGGCTGCATGAACCAACCGTCGATTTACCACAACTACACGTCGTTGCAAGGGGATAATTTGCTCGAGGGAAGTTTTTACGGGTCGTGGGATTTGAACTCTGATTGGAGGCAGGAGAAGAACATTTCGTATTACTCGGTTACTTGGGAGAAGGAGCTCGGGAAAGGGAGTTGGGTTTTTCGACATGTTTTGAGGACATCGGTTAAGTACCCGTGGCTAATGCTTTACCTACGAGCCGATGCCACGAGGGGGTTGTCCGGAGGGTACCACTACCCGACTCGGGGGATGCTGAAGATTGTAAGTTGAATTTCGTGATTAATTACTGCATGTTTTTAAAAGGCGTATAGCTTTAAAAAAAAAAAAAAAAAATCCAACAATGCAGATACCGGAATCGCCAGATTTCAGGGTTCGGTTCACCCTCAACGTGACAGCTGGTGGTGGGCCCCACAGCCAGTTCTACCTGCTCGATATCGGCGGCTGCTGGAAGAACGACGGCCGGCCGTGCGACGGTGACGTGGCATCCGACGTCACGCGGTACAGCGAGATGATAATCAACCCGAGCACCCCTTCTTGGTGCAGTCCCAACGACCCGAGACTCTGCCCGCCCTCCCACAGGTTTCCCAACGGAACCCGAGTGGGCCGGCACGAAAAGGCCCGATTCCCTTACGAGGCCTACCACTTGTACTGTGCCCCGGGAAATGGGGCCCACGTGGAGCAACCGAGCACGCCTTGCGACCCGTACAGCAATCCACAGCCGCAGGAGATCGTGCAGATACTGCCTAATCCCGTTTGGGGTGATTACGGTTATCCAACGACCAAAGGAAATGGATGGATTGGAGATGCAAGAACTTGGGAGCTTCATGTTGGGAGGCTTTCACAATCTCTTTACTTTTACCAGGTTTCTGATTTTTTTTATTTTTTTTTCCTTTTCCTTTTCTGATTATAAACTTTTTTGACAAAAATGCATTTTTAGTCTTGTTGGTTTAACGTCATCCTTCCAAGACTCCAATTTTTCGGCTTTTGGTCCTGTTATTTAATATTTCGTTGCAATTTCAGTTCTTTTGCAACAAAATTTTAAATTACAAGACTTAATTGTTAATCGAAAATCTTGGAATTTGTTGCAATTTAAGTCCTCAAATGACTGAAATTGCAGTAAAATATTAAATCGCAGGATCAAAAAGCAAAATGTTGGAATCTCGGGACTAAAATTGCTATGCCGTGGCCAAAAAATGCATTTTTGCCAATTTTTTTCTTTCAAATGATTATTATAAAGAGGTGTTTATTGCTATCTGCAGGATCCAGGGACTTTACCAGCTAGGAGGCAATGGACATCCATTGATCTTGGTGCAGAAATATATAAAGATCCCGATCAGGTGGCAGAATGGACCGTTAGCGATTTCGACATTTTTGTACCGAGAAAATAGCTCATCATATAACAATGAAAAAAAAAGCTACAACTCTTCATTTGATAAATCTTGAAACTTTTGTTCTCAATATCTAGAGCTCTGTCTAATGAAAAGATGAAAGAAAAATGAAAACATTTGTCTGCCCGTTTAAATTTAGCACTTTATGATCCAATTGTACGATGTTCTAAGCTACCTTTTATTTGGTGGATCCACCAGAGAGACACCTTCTACAAGACATATATTTCATCAGAGCTTGGGGCTTCCTTGTTCTAATCTTCAATCGTGAAAGCTGCACATTGTAAAAATATTTCGTAAATATTCCATCAAAGTTCTCGGAGAATTCGATCCTAACGATGTAGTCATAATTTTGCAATGATAATTCTAATCTTCAATACATAAAGCAGGAGATATTACTTCAGTTACAAACACACACTGAAGAAACACCATTGAATTTTGTTTCTGAAGATATATAATGGATCCTTTAAAGACTAAGGCAAGGTAGTTGCAATGTGCACAAACAATAAAACTATACCTCTAAACCACATTATAGGTATGTATCCGATAATATCTAGATAATTAAGTGATTGTACGCACAAGCACAAAATAATCAAAATTAATTATGCTAATAAACAATTTGAGCCACCAATTATAGTCGACTGATCTTCTCCACCCGTTGGTAGGCGCAATATCTCTCTTCGATGTATCCAAACCTCCATTGCACATGTGTTTCCCTCAACTTTCATTATCTCAAAATAGTTATCCCATGACATGTGTGTGCTTCGCTGTTGACTATCCTTTTTCGACCACTTCAGTTATGAAGAACGTCGTCTGGAAGATACAGACACTCACAAATTTGTGATGGTCTATATATATATATATATATATATATATATATACACACACACCAGAGACGAAGTTCTTCGCAATTGAGGTGGTCGAAATAGGATAGTCCAACAAATAGGAAACACAAGTGTTGTAACGGGCAGTCCAACAAATAGGAAGTGTTGTAACGGGTATGTAAAGGAGAACTATTTTGAGATACTCAATAGTTGGGGGAGATATGGTGCAATGGAGGATATGGATACATTGAAGAGAAAGATATTGCGTGCGGGACCAACGGAGGAGATCACTTAACTATGGTAACTCAAATTCATTATTAGTATAATTAATTTTGTTTACTTTGTGTTTGTTTGTGGTGGTACAATCACTTTAGATTTTGTCTTTAGATATGTACATGTGTTTAGTGCTATAGTTTACTCTATGATGCAGATTGTGACAGTTTATTGCAAAGTTTGGAACTTCTACACGCGACATTGGAGAAGCGACATTGCTTCTCCAATTGATGAACTGCCTTTACCCAAGTCTTCAAAGGATCTTTGATTATATCTTCAGACTTAAACCTAATTGACAAGTTGGCTTATAATTTATAAGCAAATTTCGAGCTTACAGCTTGATAGATTATGACTTAGGGATGAAAAACTAGCATATATGATAAAAGTGTTTGTAAAATTAGTTGATAAGCTAGTTGAAATAAATTTTTCAGCGGGCTTATTTGAAAAGCTACCCAACGAAGCTTATGAGATAAGCTCGTCTAACCAAATAAGCTATAAGCTAACTTATTATCCTTACCAAACACACTCTCAACTACTCCAAACAATTTTCAATGCTTGATATATCTTCAATTTGTGTCTGCACATATATGATGACCTAATATCTTCTGATTTATGTATTGCAGATGGGATTATCATTGCAAAATTGTATCTGCAGATACAATTTTAAGGTTAAGACCTTCACTTTTTCCATTCCATTCTCTTGTAATCTTTTGCTCTCTCTCATCCGAACTCTCAGCCGCACAAGCTCCCTATGTACAGATTTTTCCTTTTGATGTTCAATGAAATATTTGTTCACTTTTAGTTTTAATAAATTGATCTTGGTACAGAAAGATATAAAGATCCCAATCAGGTGGCAGCATGGACCATTAGCGATTGCGAATTTGCGACACTTTTGTACCAAGAAAATAGTTGATCATAACAAGACAATGAAAAAAAAAAGCTACAACCTTCCATTATGATTAATCTTGAAACTTTTGTTCTCAAATAGAACATTATCTAATTGACAGCCGTTGCATGAGTAAAAATTTGATTAATATATCTGCCCATTCAAATTTAGGATTTTATGATCAATTATATGATGTTCTCTGAGGTACCTTTTTATTTGGGGGACCCACCAGAGAGACACCTTCCACAAGACATATATTTCATCAAAGCTTGAGGCTTCCTTGTTCTAATCTTCAAACGCGAAAGCTGCACATTGTAAAAAAATTCATAAATATTCCATCACATTTTTCAGAGAATTTTGCATGGCAGCTCCAACCTTAGGAGGCAATTTCCTATTTCAAAAGATCGTTCGGATTTGTATACTTCGACTCTATCTTAGAGGTGGGATTTAGTAAAAGATCCAAATGAATATGGTATTGTGATGTAACACCAAATGGCGTATTCTTTAGATATTCAGCATGCCAAATGAAGGTATCGACATGCACTCTGCGTAAAACTTTAATGAAGGTAAAAGTTAGAAAACCGAAATACCTTTCGTCTGGTTGCTTTTGGTGGGTTCCAACAAAGCAGTCTCCTTGATCTCGGTTCTAATCTCCTGCAGAATGGAAAGAACATTACAGATTCTCCGATAAAAAAACCAACCTTTGTAGCAAACTTTCAACATTAAAACCTTGTTCAAATGTAAATGAATATTGTCGTATAGCGATAATCACGAAAAACAGAATCATCAAAATATCTTGACAGACTCGTGTGAAACTGTATTACGTTTTTAGAATTTAGTTTTAGGGTGATAATCATAAAACAAAGGATCCCACACTCGTAACTATTAGCAAATATAATCGAACCGGGAAAAAAAAGTTGAGAGAATACGTACAAATTTTCCTGCTCGAGCTTCTCGGCAATCGAGACCGTTTTTCTCCTGGACCAGCCGTTGCTTTGCTGCGAACCAATCTCTGCATGCTGAATCACATGAGCCAGAGACACCTTGCTTCTATCTATGCTAAGACTCTGGTTTCCCTCACCTAACAAATACGATATTTTTTGGCTCGATGAATTTCCAATATTGCCCCTGTCCCTCGAGCTCTCTCGTGGAGAGGCTTCGAGCTCGACAATCTCTGTTCTCGGTTCACATCTAATATCGATGGTCACTGGGGATTTGAGGACCGACTCGAATGCTTGTAACACGTACTGTCTGAAATTTTCGGCTTTGGATTTCGTCAGCTGGGAGGTAAACAGAAGCTGCACAGTTGGAGCTGCCAAAAAGATCAAATTTGAGATAATTACTGAAAATATGATTTATGATGTTTGTTTATAACAACATCAAAAAGTACCTGTTCCATAACTGACCGAGATCAGCTTCCCTTCACGATACATAAACTCTTTCACGGTACTAATAGGAATCTTTTCAAGCACTTGCAGCCAAATCTCCTCAGTTTCGCTGTTCCCATTAATGACGATGCCATTTGACTTTTCAGCATTGCTTTTCCTCGGTTTTCTCAAGGGACTGTGATGAAAGCTATTATCAGAGGAACTCGGGGGCACATAATTTTGCTCGGGAGCCAACTGTAGAAGGGCAGCCGTTAGCCAAGTTATGCGGTCGTTTGATACCCTTAGCTGCTTTTCGGCTTCTGAGAGAGTCTTTAAGGCCTGGCGCAGTTTTTCCATTTCTTCTTTCGACACTGTAGATTATACGCGCGCTTTGGTCCATCAATATGAAGAAATGGATTTTAATGAATGATAATCGTTTTCTAATTTTTTTTCACAATCTAAAAAAAAAAGATAAAAACAACACCAACTCTACGGTTATAAGTTATAACCACATTTACACCAATTAGAAATGTTTAATTAAAGTAGACGGAGAAGTGAGTTAATTTACCCCCCAATGAAATACGAGAATAACAAGTAAAAAAGATACAACTTTAACTAACGAAATGGGGTGAGTACGCTATAAAGGAAACAAAAATGTCAGAAGTTTGTTGGACAATGTAAAAAAGATCAAACGGGTTGTGAGATAGTGAAAACTCACGTGCATTATGCCGAAAGAATTTCATTCTAGATCCTTCTTTCATGAAATCATAGCTTCCAGCCAGAATATCAGTTATAACAGTTGCAAGCTGTGACATTAATGCCAATGGCTCGATACCAGATTCCATGATATCTCTCAGATTCTTCACCGTATTAACTGTGTCGGCAGATAACGCTAAATCAAGTAGGTCCACTAACTTCTCATCTGAAACAAGCCCAACCTGTAAATAAAAAAAAAAAGGGGGCAGTAAAAATATGTTGACTTTCCAACTCAGGATTAATATAAGATTACTTCAAGTCAAAAGAAGAAAATAATTTACCAATTCTTGTACAAGGCCAAGAGATATTCTCTTCCCAAGCAAACTCAGTTGTTCTAAAGTCATCTCAGCATCCCTTAAAGATCCATCTGACCTCGATGCTATAAGCTTCAAAGCATCCTTATCGATTTCCAAATCCTCCTTACTCGCAATCCACTGCAAAGTATAAATTACATCTGCATCCTTCAACTTTGGGAAAAAGAACTTTTGGCACCTGGTTGTTATCACATGAGGCAAGGCCTCGAAGCTTGAGCAGACGAGTACAAAAACGACCCGTCTCGGTGGGGCTCGATCGATGGCCTTCAAAATCGCACTCCAACAATCAGAAGATAGAGTATCACACTCGTCGAATATCAAAACCCTGTGCTCGGATCGAGTCCTGTGGTGGATCGCCACTTCATCGAGAAGCTCGATAAAGCTCGCAAAGTCAACATTGCTGACCTGGCCAATTTCAGTCACATTTCTTGTCTTGGAGCATGAGCTGCATAGCCCGCAGGGCTTCGAGCGCTCTAGCGAGCGGCAGTTCAGAGCCCGGGCAAATATACGCGCGCACGATGTTTTCCCGGTCCCGTGGGGCCCATGGAAAATATACAAAAGCCCGACTTTCTTTTTTGTAATAGCATTCGAGAGAGCCCGCGCGACCAAACTCTGGCCCACCAAATCCTTAAATGTCTTCGGCATGTACTTCTGAGTAATATTCTGATGCTGATGCCTCCCATTATCATTGTACTTCTTGTGCTGCTCGCCGGACCTACCTTCAGAAGCAAGATCCGAATCAGTCTCGTTTTTTAGAAGATTCTCGGCATATAGGCCTAATTCGCTCGAGTAATCGTGAGAACTATCGAGCAACAGAGGCAATGCCTCTTGACAGTTTGATTTCGAGGATGAGCTCGAGTGTTGCGACATGTCGGGCATATTCGAGCCAGTTTTCATTGACCTCAACTCGGAAATGCCACAAGAGAGGCTCTTCCCGGCCAAGTCGAGAATCGATTTTCCTCTGTCGTGAATTCTAGACCAATTCCAGGGGATTCCACATCGGTTATTACACGGGCCACCATTGACAATATTATCATGATTTCCTCCTTGGGCAAACGAGTTAGAAGCTACTGACATTTCATTATTTATAGAAGCACGAGGCCTTCTCGAGCTTCGAAACCTCCGCCTTTTCGCCCGATTATTGTTAGTATTATTATTACTATTATTTTGATTCAGAACATTTATTCCATCTTCCTCGGAAACTTTTTCGACCCGGGTTCGATATTCGTGGTTACGGGACAAACCCGCATGGTCACTCTCATCCGGGATATCTTGTAGCTGTTCGGATAAGGTTCGGAGGTGCAAATCCTGTCTGTAGCTGCCTTTCATCTTCAAACTCCTGTCTTTGGACTCTGAGCTTCTAGAACCTTCTTCTCTCCTGTCTTGCCTTCTTTCACCTTCTGTGCTGTCCTGTTGAAGGGAACTTACAGACATTCTGGGACGCTCGATCCCGACTGACCGTCTCACGGTAATCGCCTCATCCTTCTCTGATCTCTTAAGAAGAGAATCAACTATGGAAGGGGAATGCCATCCGTGCGGGCTTGCAGACGGGTCGCGTAAAGACCTCGACTTTTGAAGGGCAATTAGGTCCCGAATAAGGGCTCGACCGGCTAAGATGGGACTTTGCTTGTGCATGTGGTTTTTTAAGTGGATGCAGTTTGTGAGGTGAATGTGGCTGCGTAAATGGTCATTGATATCACCATTCACGTCCTTGAGAATTCGGTCTCGGATGGCTCGGGTCATGATATTGATCGGAATGTAAATCGGTCGACTTGAAATATTATTGAATAAAGGCAAGGCATCTGAATATGGTTAATGCTTTTGATTTAGCAACAACCCCAAATTTTGTTCTAGTGAAGGCATTTGGGAAAACCTAAGCAATATCTTATTAGATTCACAAAGTACAGACATTCTTAAACCCAAAACAAAGTCGAAAAAACCTGCAAAATGAAAATAAAGATTGCAGCTTTGGGAGATTAGGACCATACATTACAGAGCAACAACTAAAACTAAGCTACATAAAAGTGAAAGAAACCCAACAAAACAAAGTACACAAGTCCTGCAAAATGAAAATAAAGATTGCAGCTTTGGACATTTCACATTAGGAACATCACAGAGCAAGAACCAGAACAAAACCCACATAGATTACAACGCAAAGAACATAACTTTTTTCATGTTATACCTCAGAAAATGTTGCACAAAGTTCAATATGAATCGAAATAAGAGGAAGAAAGCTATAAACTTTCTGAAAACTGTTGAGAAATGAAGGTTAAGGGGTGGTTCAAATTCTTGAAATTGGTCTAATGGAGTGAAGGGAAGAAAAGATGAACAGAGTCAAAGGAAAATAAATGCATTTCACCTGAATCTTGGAGTTATCGGCAACTACTAAGAACCGGTTTTCCAAGCAAGAGACCCGTTGCATCATTATTGAAAACTCTCTCTCTCTCTCTCTCTCTCTCTCTCTCTCTCTCTCTCTCTCTCTCTCTCTCTCTCTCTGTGTCTCTCTCAGATCTCTTGAGAAAAAGGAGCAGAAGTAACAACGTTGGGAGTGTTTGTATTTTAGCGAAGAAGTAACAAACAGTGTTTTCTGTGGAGTGAGATTTCCACTGGTGTGTGTGTGTGTGTGTATGTGTGCGAATCTGTGTGTGAGAGAGGCCAAGAGAGAGAGAAAACAATAAATATATGCAGGACAAATTGCAAAGGAAAACTCGGCACTCTGCAAGAAAAGCCACGGGCACTCTTGTTTTTTACTGCCTTGGATAAATTAGGTCAGTTTTGTCAATTTTGGTTCTATATATGGTTAATTGGTTATTGTATAATAACCAATTAGGTGTGTGTTTTTTCTGATTTGCTTTGTGTTTTATTTTGGTGTTTTGGTTCGTTTAGTGCAGCTTTGTCTGATTTCAGTGCAGCTTGTCTGCTTTTAGTCTCTTTATGGAGTTTTGTTTTGTAGGTGTTTGTCTCCTAGATGGAGTTTGTACCCCTTTGTGTGTTAACAAGGGGGGTTGGTCCAGTTTTCTGGTTCCAGTGTGTCTTTTGACACTTCGGTTGTACTCTTTTGAGTTTTTCAGTTATTAATATAATTGTCGTTGGAAAAAAAAAGTATAATAAAATATAATAAGTTATTTTTACGAAATGAAATCCCTTGTATTCTTAATCTTATATATTAATTCAGAGCCTGTTGAGTCTAATTGTCAGACTCGTATGCTTCGAAATCTTGTGACAAAATAAAAATTTAAATTTATTTCATTAATTTTAAAATTTAAGATTTTTTTTTAACAATCATCCGTATAAAGATATAATACACGTGTGTTGTACTAACTAATTATTTGTCAAATATTATACACAATCAACTAATCCAATAAAATAGTCAAAATCTATTCCAACCAACTACCTATTATAAGATAATTCAATTAATGAAATGGCGGATTATGTTAAAGTTGGAGCTACCGTGCACGTTACTCGAATGTTTCGGTGGACCCCACCGGAAGCAGGATGGATAAAAGTAAACACGGACGAAGCTCATAATAGGACAACGGGGTTGAGCTATGCGGGGGGGTCTCTTTCGAGATGAAGTTGGTCGATGGAAAGCGGGGTTTCTTATGAACATCGGGGCCTGCACCATCACTGGTGCCGAGTTGTGGGGATTGTTCCAGGGACTCCAACTGACTTGGGACTTAGGGTTCCGTCAGGTTCTCGTATAAATCGACAGTCAATGTGTAAGGAATATGGTGCTTGGGGTTGTTGACGAGTTTGGAGCACATACTGCGTTAGTTCGAGTTATTCGTAGCATGATGCGTTATAGCTGGAGTGTGCGTATCAATCATGTTCATCGGGAAGCTCTATTGGGTTGCATCGTGTGTCGGACCCTCCTGATGGATTAGGTCCATGGCTCGATCTTGATCTTATGGGGGTTTCCTATCCCCAACGTGTCCTAGGCTAAATGTACTTTCTTTAGGCCATTGGCCTCCTTTATTGCACCGAAAAAAAAAATTAATCTATATCTATATATATATATATATATATATATATTAAAAGCCAACCTATTTACCAAAAACAGTCAATACACATTTAATGCATACTTTACTTAGAAATTTTTTACTATATGCAATAAATGCTTGCATATTTACATTTACTTTCCAAATATGATCTTAAAGATTTTTTCCTTAAATAATTTATGCAATGATTTTACTGATATCCATTATAATTAATATTTATCGAGTAATATTTTTTAACGTTTATTTAATTATATAACACTAATATTTTCTTAAAAAAATTAATATTATTTATTATTTAAAAGATAATGAGCACATCATTAAATGATTTTATTAATGGTTAGACAATAAAATTATATTAGTTATTCTTTAAAATTTCGACATGTTATTTATTTGTATATTATTGTCAACTATGATAGTGTTTTTATCACTTTTTTTGTTATGTTTCAAAAATGAACTTATTGTAAAATATTTTTCTATTGCATAGTATGTTAAATAAACTATAAAGCCTTAGGATGGAAAAAGAATTATTATGAGAAAATTGAATTCTAAAAAACATGTGTGTATATTTTGTAAACATTTATACTCAAAATTTTATTTTGAATTTCATTACATAAAGAAGACTACTTCTGTAACTTTTATAAATAATAGTAATTACATTATATGACTGTAAATTTTATAATAAAACAATAATTGAGTATTATATGATGAACAATAATTAATAAAATTTTTATTTTTTCTTATAGCAATGAATAAATATGTATTCTAAAATCAAATAAATATTAGTATGACGTGTTAGCGGAATTATATATTAATTAACATGTTAATTTTTTGGCTTAAATAAACTCCACATATTAAAAGATGTGAAATATGGATGATCCAAGCCTATTGTTTTTTTTGTCTTAAATGCAAGATATTGACTGGTGATCATGTTTGCGACACAGTGTTGATTCCTAAAATGAATATTACTCCTTCTGATCTTAGGGTTCCATTTAAGTTTCAGCGGCGACGGTTCCCACTTATGGTTTCGTATGTCATGACCATAAACAAGAGTCAGGGACAGTCTTTATCCCACGTTGGTCTTTTCTAAGGAAGCCTGTCTTTAGTCATGATCAATTATATGTTGTTGTTTCGCGTGTGGCTAATATTAGGGGTTGAAGATATTAGTTTGTGAGAATGAGGAGTTACCCGATAATCAAACTCATAATGTTGTGTACAAGGAGGTCTTTAATAATATATGATTGTTTTTTTTTCAATACTATTTTATTGTACAACTTTCTTGTGTATTGTACAACTTTTATTAAATATTGCATATTAGATTATAATACTCCTCAAATGAATATATCTCGTGTCTCGCACAGGTCACGTACTATATATATCTCGTACATCTTTTTTATTCATTTATATAATCATAAGGCTGAATATATAGCCTTAAAATTGTGCACCGCGTGCATCGCACGGCCTCTGTACTAGTTCTTAGTTATATAGTGTCTGTCTATATTTGTGACTTCTTTAATGTTTTGATTTGTTGGGACGAAAAATGGCTTTGGAAGAAAATACATATATGGCATAAACTTCGTTCATAACAATTAATTAGTACAACACCTGTGTATTACACGGGTGTTTGTTTAAAAATTATTTTTAAATTTTAAATTTAATGAGAAAAATTATTTAAAATTTTATTTATTTATTTTTTTACAAAAAGTATATATTATTATATATTTTAGAATGATACTTGTTATTTGTGCGACTTACATGTTTTATATTATAATAATTTTTATAACTATATCATATAACTATAATAATTTTTATAACTATATCATATAACTACTTGAAATATAAATATATTAATTGATAAATAATTTTATTTTTTTAATTAATATTAAAAAACAAATGATTTTTATAAAGATAAATTTTATTTATTTTTCTTATACATACAATATGGATATTAAATCGAAACTCATCAAAAGATGATTAATTTGATATATTATATATGTAAAAATAATAAAAAATACAAAAGTTTTTAATTTTTAAAATACATTTACAATTCAATAGTTATAATAAGAAATGATATTAAAATGCAATTAATACATGTAACATGACCATAAATAATCAACATATTTATGGATAATCCAGACCTAATTTTTTTAGATTGGAAGTAAATTAAAATCTACTCAAACCTAATAACGAAGCATGTAATTTTGTCACATAGAATCTCAAAACATGCAAGCCTACCACTTAAGCTCAATACGTTCTGAATTAATATATAGGACGGATAATAAATAATCATCGGAGTCTCTCAACCAAAAAAAAAAAAAAAAAAAAAGGTATAAGAGGTAAATTAAATTTACCTAAAAGTTTGCACCTATGTGGCTATGTAATCTGTGTTACTTAAATCATAAATGCATGGGGAAAAAGAAAATATATTTACTTAAAAATCACATAACCTTTTGTGGGACCAAAAGGCCCATTTGATTTCAAAATACCGTTGAACTATAGGCTGGGTCATGGGCTTTATGAAAAAGGGTTGATGGGAAATATTATAAGGTATCTTTTCAAATTAAATTAAGAAGAATAAATTTTTGTTTTACGAGTCAAAAATTTATTTATTTATGAATAACAGTCAAACACATGAGTTCTTCCTTACCAAACTCAAAGTACCAATCATAAACTGTACCAAAGGCCAAAGGGTAGATAAATTATTGCATTCAGCTTTAATTGTAGCATGGTATAAAGTAAATAATTCAC